CTCCCTCTCTCCCTCTGTCTCTCTCTCTCGCCTGCTCCGTCTCTCTCCTCCTTGCTTGCTTTTTTCCCCTCGGTGTTCCTTGGCACTGATCGGCCCCTTTCACTGACCCCCCTCCCCCGATGTGCCTTGATGCGTGGACCGTGCGCGGGCCGCAGATCCCCCTTTGGGACAAGCTCATTCGGCGCTTCCACAGCCAGGGGCTGCTGGTTGCCGGGCCTCTTGACAACCTGAGGCCGGTCGGGCACGGGGGCCGGCCCGGGGCCGGCACCATGCGGGCTGGGCCCCCGGCGGCCCCCGGCGGCCCGGCCCCCGATCCGGCGTCCAAGGCGCCGAAGCGCAAGGGCGCCAAGGCCAAGGCCCGGCCAGCGGGCGATGGTGTCCTGGACACGGCGGCCAGGGGCTCCTCGCGGGCCGGCGCTCGGCCGAAGGCCCAGGATCTTCCGAGGGTGCATGGCTCCGCCGGCGGCGAGGCTCCCGCGGACAGCCTCGAGCCGGCCAGGCCCCCTGCCCCATCCCCGGGGGCTCCCACGGGCGGGGGCTTCCCCAAGACCGAGGGCGGCTCCAAGAGCCGGAGACCCTCGCGCGCGGCCGGGACTCCGCCGAAGGCCCGGGGCGGGGAAGAGGCCGAGGGCGCCGCACGGTCCCAGGCCGGCCCGCGGGCGAAGGACCCCCGCCGGAAGGCCAAGACCCGGGCATCGACGGACGCCGGAGCCGAGGCCGCGCCCTCGGCGCCGTCCGTGGCGACGCGCCGGGGGACTGGCGATTCGGGCGTCGGGCCACTTTGATGGGCGCAGCCAGCCACCCCGGCCCTCGCGCCATGGATGCTCCCCGGTGTGCGGGCCTGGCGCCGGTGGTCGGTGGGGGTTGCGCATGCGCTCCGGCACGGCCGATGGCCCTCCGCATGGGCACCTGCAATGGGCGGGCCGCCGGGTGCTTGCGATGTGGCCCCTGCCGGTGCGGTCCATGGGCTTGCTCGGCTCCCCTTTTCCGGCGTCGCTGTCGGTTCTTCTCGAGGGCGCGCCCGGGCGCCGGGGCTGCTGGCGAGGGCGCTGCCGGGAGCGAGCGTGTGCGCCTCTCCATGGCCAGGGGGCGGCGTTCCGTCCCCGGGACTCCGGGCGGCCTGGTCCGGCGGCTCGGCCGCGCGGGGGCTTGTGGATGGAGGGGGGCACGGGCGGGCAGCCCCGTGGCCGGGGGGCTTTTGCCGCGGGGCGTTTTTTAGGTGACACGCGTGGGGCCAGCAGCAACGCGCGCACCTGGCCCTCTCGGAGGGCGCCGGCATGCTGATCCGCGTGGTGGCTTTTCCCCCTCGACCCTGCTTGTTTCCCCCCTCCCGGCGGGTGTTCTTCCTCCTCTCCCCCGGGGTCCATGAAGCTGGGCGGGGTGCCGGGCGCCCGACACAATGGGCCTGCTCTTGTCGGATGGCGCCGTCCCCCCCGCCACCCGGTGCGCTTGCTGGCCGAGCGCCGGGCCGCACTCGTCGCTGTGGCCGGCGATATCCCGGCACCCTTCACTCGCTCCCTGCCCAGTCATGACACCCGGCGGTCGTGCGCGTCTTGAGTGCACTCGGCCAGGGCAGGGCGGTCGGGGGGGAAGGGGGTTTTAGATGCCCCGTGCTCGGGTAAGCCCCCCCCCCCCCGCCCCTTCGGTGGCAGCTGCTCTTGTTGGCTGCCGGGAGGGAATACACACGCACCAAGCACAGGCCGGAGCAGCGCCATGGCGGTTTCCCTGCTCCACCCCTGGCAGGCGGGCGGGCGGAGGAGGGGCCCCCTGCTGTCGGTGGTCTGGGCGTGTGTCCAGGCGCTTCGGGCCCCCTCTCGGCCCGCAGGGAACAAGGGCACCGAGGGGGCTCGGCATGCTCCGCGGGCTGCCGCCGCTGGCTGGGCCCCCTGCTCTCGGTCGGCGGGCCGCCCCGGGCCCGGGGACATGCGGCCGTGGGGCTCGTCGGTCGTGGCGAGGGGGCGACGGCAGCGCGCGGGGGGGGGGCGGGGGGCGGGCAGGCCGGTGCGGCCGACACGAACCCGTGCAGGGACGTGCCGCACACGTGCAGTCCTGGTGATACGACGGGCCGCGCACGTGATGACGGTATTAAACTGCACGGCGCAGCGGGGAAGTTAAGCCGTATATCTGGGGCTCGGCGCGGTGGCCCCCGTCCGGGAATGATTGCCCCCAGCACGTCGGGTGTGCCCCTCCTTGTGGGCGAGGCCCCCTCCTTTTGCTTTGAAGATCTTTCGTCCAAGGGTCCGTGTGTGCGTGTGTATGTGTGCGTGAGGGGCCGGATGGGGGCCCGGTGGAGGCGGGGCCTCGGACGCCTTGGGGCGTCTTCGTGCCCTCCCGACTCGGGTTATAGGGGGGGGGGGGGGGGGG